TCCAACTCTTCTCTTGGCAATCCAATGTTACCAAAAAAAAAATTATAAAATTATAAAATAAAAGTAATAAATCATCAACTTTCCTTTTTAGTTTTGTTTCTTCCTTTACAATTTTATTTTATTTATTTATTCATTTTTTTTTTAAAGGCATCTAATTTTTTGCACAATACAAACAATAGCGTGAATCTCGTGCATTTAGCTACCCTTTCTCAACAAGTCTCTCTTAGAATGTACCTAATGCACGCATTAATAGATTTCACTTATGATTTTTGTTAGTGGTCCTCCATCCCATGTATACAAACAACTTACAACAAGAAAATATCCTAATGTTCTAGCTACCCTTGGCATGTAGTTGGAAATTAATTGTCAATAATACTACAAATTTAGAAAAATTCTTTATAATGTTACTCACAAAAACATATATCATAATCATTTTAGATGGAACTCGCACCTCATCAACTTTCAATTTACATCATATAATTAATTTCGGGATGAATTTCAAAATATTTTTTGTATGATCCACCAACTGTGTTCCATTGAGCATATGACAAGCTGTTAAAAATCTTTGACAAATTGCATTAATGTAAATTTTAACAATGGTCCATAGCTCCTATGTGATACATAGTTTGAGTCCAGATCCTCTGCCATTGTTTCCTGCCATGCTTCATGCCGTGGTTCTAAAACGGCGTCGTTTTGACTTTTTTTTTTTTTTTTCACATCAGAGCCTTTTCTCTCCGCTATCTTCCAAACCTTTGGCTAATTCCATCATTTGGGAAGCACTGATCGTGTTCTGTGACCCAAATAAAATGTCGAGAACAGAGCCCTGTGGATGCAAGTCTAGCCATTCAAGGCATTTTTTTTTTGTTGAGATATTTCACATTCGTTTCCACTGTTGACCTAATATTTAATGATTTTATATTAGAAGAAGAAGAAGTAGAGCTTAAGCATGGTTGGAGGGAGAGGAGGCCCAATAGTCCAAACAGGAAGTTTGGTAACTTTTCTGGGAGCCTCTAAACCAAGAGGTTCGATTTCCTCTGCCGCGATAAGGAAGTTTCCCAATAACCTCTACTGATTTTTTGTTTGTAATTTTGGGTTTACTTTCTTTTTCCCTTTTGGTTTGATATTGGTGAAAATTGATGAATAGAAATTGGAATCTCAGATTTTTGAAACAAAGAAAATAATCTCAGATTTGTGTTTTGATCTTTCGTTTGGTTGGATTTTTTGAACCTGTAAACTAAACACACAAACTTTGACATTTTGAACATCAATTTGAATCAAGAGATAAACCAACACATCAATTTTCTAAAGCAAAACAGCACCACCGATTTGCATTGATAACCTGAAAAAACCAATTAAAACCTAGAAACAAAACCCAATCAAGAGAAAGCCCAACAATCCTCTTCTCTTCTTTTTCTTCGATCTACTTCGCTCTCTCTCTCTCTCTATATATATATATGTGTGTGTGTGTGTGTGTGGTGGGGTAAAAATGATTGAGAACTGATTCAATTTTATTTTCTTTTTTGATTTTTCTGTTGTTCATGCTCAAGTTGGTTAGGATTCTTATCGTCTCTCTCGTTGGAGAGCTTAGAGAGAGAAGAAAATAGGAGAAAAGGAAAAGAAAAAAAAAAAGAAGAAGAAAGAAGGCCAAAATGACGCCATTTTAGTACCACGGCAAGAAACATGGCAGGAAACAATGGCAGAGGATCCGGACTCACATAGTTTTACATGTGAGAGCTAGAAACCCCACATTTAGACACAAGCATCTTTCTTTCTTTTTTTTAATTTGCTGTGTTAATTATTGATGTAGGTTATTTGTTTTAATATTATTTTTTATTTTGTCCAAAAAAAAATATTAGTAGGGTCCAACTTTAACTAATCAACCAGTTTAGTTGCAAAAAATAAAACACTCAACTCAAATTTGTGAGTAATTCTACCCAAGTTTATTTGTTGAGTTTGATTGACTTTGGACATACAAACTCGGATTTCAGGTCAGGGTTCAATAACAATCAATATAATTCAAGTTGAGCCCAAATAACCACCCAATCTAAGTTGGAGTTGGATAACTATCAATAGAACTGATCTAACTAAATCGGTCCGAATTGCACGGCTTCCCTTTATATAATATTTGTACTTGACATTAATTTGCACATTGAAAGATGTTGCGAATGCAATATTTATGGGTTACCTGACACACACTATTATGAAAATTCTATATATAATAAGAGTATTAATTAATAAATTTACAACTACAAAGAAATGTATTTGCTTTTATGAATTTTTTTAATTTTATTTTATGATGTTTCCTTTTCTTGAGGGACAAGACCATTATTAAGTCTTCTATGGTTTTTTTTTCCCTTCTTGGGCCTGGACCTACCATGTGACCGACAATAATAATAATAACGAGGCCTCACAAGTGGTTATAGAAGTTTTTTTTTTTTTTTTTTTTTTTTTTTAATAAAAATAAATAAATTACACTATCAGTCCCTATAGTTTGAGACTCGCGTCATTTTAGTCCCCAACTTTTCAATTGTGACACATTTGATCCTGAATTTTAAATTTTGTTTCAAATAAGGACAATTGAAGATATCATTGTTAAATTTGAAGGGCAATCGTCAATTTACTAAAATATAAACTAATTTGATAAAAGTAAATGTCAAAAAAATATTTTTAATTTTAAAAAAATTATTTTTATCCACCAATGATAAAATTATGTAAACTTGATAAAAATTAATAAAAATTACAAGATTAATTTTTAAAAATTAATTTTACATGATCATTATCCAAATACATAATAAAAATTATTTTGATAAAAAAATAAATAAATGTCTAAAAGATTTATCAATTTTACATAATTTTATTTTTAGTGGGCAGAAAAATTTTTAAAAATTCAAAAATATATGTTTGACATTTATTTTTGTCAAATTAGTTTATATTTTATCAAATTGACGATTTTACCCTTGAAAAATCTAATGATATCTTCAATTGTCTTTATTTGGAACAACATTTAAAATTCAGGGTCAAATGTGTCACAATTGAAAAGTTAGGGATCAAAGTGACACAAACACCAAACTTTAGGGACTATTAGTGTAATTCACCCTAAAAAAAATTAATTTAGGATTTATTTAGTGTAATCTTTCCTAAGTCAAAAGTTGATAATAAAAAAATAGAATAATATTATTTGGATCAATCGGTATACCAATTAATATATTTACAGATGATATAACATAATTTTAGAAATTTTGGATATTTATAATTTGTATAATGGGTAGGGTCAATAATAATGTCATAGTATATGTTGGTACACTAATTGATATATTAATTGATACATGTAACACCATTGTAAAAAATAATAGAAGTTAATAGTATTCTTTTTCAATATTTTTTATGAATATCATTTTTTTTTAATTTATTTAAGTTATTTTTGTCTCAAAAATTATATTGTAAACATAAGCCGCCCTAAACAAATACATCACTTCACATCTTTAGTTATGGGGAAATTTTATTATACACACCCCTTGAAAGTAGTTTACCATGCACTTCTAATTATATTATTTTTTTCTTTAATTATGACTCATAAGATTTTTAGTTATGCCTCACATAATATTTGAGTATATATATATTTTTTTAGTTATAACTCAGAAAATATAAAATTATACTATTTTATTCTTTAGTTATAATGGGTCTCAACATATTATTAAATTTAAATTTCTCAACAAAATTCATGTTGAAATTATATTACTATCATATTCGTAATTATCAACCAGTGTGCAACATTCAAATTTAAAATAAATAAATAAATAAAAAACACCCCTTGTGTAACATTTTGTTCAAATAAAATGATGATGGACATATATATATATATATATGTATAATGCTTGAGGCCTCGAATTTATCTCGAATTCAATTTTTTTTTTTCCCCTAAAGCTGTGTTAGTTTGGTTTTTTTTTTTTTCTCTCTCTCTTTTCTTTTCTTTTCTTTTCTTTTCTTTTCTTTTTGCAGGGGTGGTTATGTATAGGGGTGTGCCAAAAAATTAGATATTCTGCAAGTGAGTTGGGTTGGACTGATTGGGTGATAAAATTGACTGTTCAATTTTTTTTTAATTTAATTTAATTTTATTTGTTAGGTTGTGTTGGTTTGGTTGTTTTTTTTTTTTTTAGTTAAAATAAAAATTGGAAGTTATTGATTTTTTTTTTTTTTTAAAAAGTAGACTTGTTGATCTCAAATAAAAATTGGAAGTTATTTTATGTGCACACCTTAAAAAAAAAAAAAAAAAAAAAATCTTAAAAAATAGGAGTAAATAGTTACATGGGTTTCAACGGAATTGAAAAGTAGCAGACCTATTAGATAATATCTAAAACATTTTAAAGCTAAAAGTAAATTTTATAAATCAAGACCAGTATCTTTTTCATAAGCCTTTCTCAAGACATATTTACGAGAGTAATACAATATTTTTCCGTCTAGTTTGAAATTTTTGTTTGGGTTTGTTTTTTGTTTTTTTGTTCCTTTTTTTTTACTTTGGCTTTTATGATTTTAATTTTATCAATTTAAATCTCACAATTTTAATTTTTTTTCAAATATATGTTCCTTCTTTTAGTTGTCACACATTTTGGAGGTCAAAATAATACGTTAAAACTAGAGGAGCAAATTGGAATTTAAAAGGAATAAAAAAAAAAACTATGAGAATTATTAGTATAACTTTTTTATTTATCTTTTTTGTGAAAAATTATTGAAATTCCCATGTAAGTTGCACGTGGAACTTACACGTAAATTACTAGCGTAGGATATAAATTAATTAAAGGGAGCCTATATTCACATACCACATTTTATCTCAAGGTAAACCATTACTCAAGGTCACTTTTAATAATTTAATAAATAAATATTTTGTTCAATACACATCACAATTTTCCATCTTTATCCTCACTCACTCACTCATACACCCTACTCACAATCTACTCACAATCTTCCGTCTTTACTCTCATTCACACACCCTACCCACCCACCCATCTACGATGTTCCATCTCCCCCTCAATTCTCTGTTTAAACCGATGAAGACCCATTTGCTGAATACACTTTTTTCCTAGTCAAAGACGTCGTCTATGGTGCTCAACACAGTTAGAAACAACTCACATTGGAGATACAGTAAGTGAGTTCTCATTTGACTTAGATTTTAGGATTTTATGTAGTTTTTTCCATTGCCATGAAATTTGTATTTGCATGATTTAGTTTCCGAACCGTTCGACACTGGAATTTCGAACCCCAAACATCTGTACGGTCGATTTCTGGTGAACAACATGTGGTTCGACACTTGACTTTCGAACGATTTCATTTTGTCCCGTCTATTATTGTCGAACATGTTCGACACTTTAGCGTCAAATCTGATATTTAATTCAGATGTAGAATGTCGAACACTAACAACATGTTCGATGTTGTACTATTGAACACTACAAATTTTTTTTTTCTGTCTTATTGATTTATTTGTTGTGAACAGTAGTTAGAGGGCCAGATCTATTCCTCTGATGAAATGGAACTAGTCTCTATGTTTTAATATGTAAAGCACACAGGTGTTCTACGTCCATATCCAAAATTGAACACTACAAAACTGAACACTGCAATATTTGGTGAAACAGTGGAACAAAGTAAAGCTGAAGAATATACTACAACCACACAGAAGAGTACTACACTTTTCTCATGGTCTGGAATGGCAGTTCCAATAATGATCAGAGGTATCCATAATAAGAGATAGTCGGGAATATAAAATTTGAAAAAAAGAAAAGAAAAGAAAGTAACCTAGACAATAGGAATTCCAATATTTGAATCTTCACAAAACTTTGTGAGAACTTGATCAGAAAATAGCTAGACCAACGGTCCCAGTTGCATAATCTAGTTCACACAGAAATGATTCAGATTTATATCACTAACAAGTAAATGAACTAGTGATTGTAGACTTCTATAGCTTGATGTTTCATCAGCATGCCATAAATAAATAATTTATTTGTTATTTATAGGGTAACTAACAAAGACAACTATACATTCTTCACCCCAAAAAACAAAAGGAAAAAAAAAGAAAAAGAGAAGGAATTCCTAGAAATTGCAGATGCTCAATTTCTAAAAAGCAGTGTATAATTTATCTACGAGCAGCTGCACCAGCTATGCAGCCAATCAATAGATTAACAGAGAAATATTTATTACCATATGAGATGTTTCATTTTTCATTGGAATGGTCTCTCCTCATAGAAACTTAGTTGAGATTGTTGAATTAAAAATTGCAGCAATCTTGTGGTTTTAAAAATTTAGAAACCAAACTAAATCAAACCAAGTGAGAACTAGGAAATTTGGAAAGTAAAGCTTCTTTTGTTTTCTTTGACAAGCAGGGCTCAAAAGAAGAATAAACTCTTGAAGCTAAACAATTTTTGAACTTTATTTTCCTACTATCAATGTTGTGCCCTTATGTTAGCTGTTTTAGGAGTATTTTCCCAACACAACTCACATCTTTTTAAAAGACTAAACAGTTTGCTGTCTTCTACATTTTCAAAAATTGTTTCTACATAAAAGTAAAAATGATGGGTTATTTCAAACTTAAACAAACAATAATTTGAATGATTGTGAGTATTTTAACATAAATGATTTGTGTTCCTTCTATTAATTTTATTGTTTTCTGTTTTATTTTTAGAAATGGATGACCCTTCGCGTATTCCATCCACTGCCTCAAAGAGACGACATTGTGCATTAACAAATCCTGCTCGTGGCCGAGGTCAAGGTTGAGGTCGAGATCAGGGTCAGGGTAGAGGTCGGGGTGATGATATTGTGTTGGAGGAAGCACTTCAAATCTTGGAAGAGGATGTGATTGATAATGGTTCAGGGGATGATGATGATGCTGCTGATGTTGATTAGGCTGAGAAGGTACTCACTGGTTCGTTTCCCGGGGGGCCATCAGATCCATCAGTACTGAAAAGCTTCAAGGCACATATTACAGCAACTATATGGGAGCAAAAGGTAATATATACTGTTTTCCATGTTTGATTCATTTAATTATTTATTGAACCAAATTATTTATGTAAATTATTACTTACCTTGCAGGAAAGAAATCCCTTTAGGTGTTATAATCATGCGTCCAAGATTCTTGAATGGCGGTGGTGGTCAAGAACCGACAATAGAAGGTTTAGAGACATTGTGCAACAGTTAGGCCTATCTTCTTTGGTCCATTGCACATATCAATTCGTGAATAGGATTGTCATATCTATATTTGTTGAGCGATGGCAACAGAGACAAATACTTTCCATTTGACAGTTGGTGAGACGACAATGACATTGGATGATATGGGTACCATCTTGGGGATCCCCATCACAGGTAGATCAGTTTGTGCTGCAACTTTGACAGATTAACAGGCACAAGTAGGGGTGTTCGCGGATCGGTTTTGTGCGGTTTGCGGTTCGGTTTTGACCCGCCTGCATCTATGCGGTTTGGGAAAAAGTCAACCCACAACTGCCCGCAGTGCGGTTTGCGGTTTGTGCGGATAGGGTTTCCAAATGTGCGGGCGGTTGCAAGCGGTTTGCGGTTTACACTTTTTTCTTTAAAAATTAATTTTCGAGTTTTTTTTTCCAGCGAATTTAGGCATCAGATTCATTTTATATATTTGTGATAACAATTTTTTGATGATTTTACAAATAAAAATTGAATATCAATGCATTAAATGAAAGTACCCAAAACAAAGAGACCCTACACTAGCATTTTTGCCATGAAAAAAATGTATATCAATGCATTAAAGGTTGTACTCAATTAGAATTGCCAGTTCAGTAATCAATAATCAAACTATAAGTTCCATCGACCATTAGAAGCTTATGATGGTAGATTAGGGCATCTTTAAAATTAGCATACCTTATGCTATGCATGCGTGCAGAAAGTTGAGAAATACTTAAAAATAAGGATCCTAGTGTCATAGAGAATATAATGGTGCTCCTGTAAAAGTTACAAAGTTGGTATATAAAAAAAAATAATAATAATAATTAAAGTGCGGGCGGTTTTTGCGGGTTGCGGGTTTAAACCGCGACCCGCCCGCAACCCGCAAATTTGTCATATTTCAAACCGCATCCGCCCGCATTATGTTTGCGAAACCGCCCATTTATATGCGGGTTGGGCGGATTGGGCGGTTTGAGCGGTTCGGATAAACCGTTGCCCACCCCTAGGCACAAGCACTTGTGGTAGCTGCCTTAGGAGTTGATGATACTGAAGCAACTGATGGACTCCTCGTCAGGAAGCTGGTTCAACAGTATCACACCTACAGGCATTACGGGAGGAGCTTGACAGATTGGCATTTGATGAGGTATACCAATTACTCTTAGTTTAATTAGGTTTTCTTATTACATGTCACTTATCTAGATTTGTTTTGTGTTTCTCTCATAGGTTACTTGGGATCCATATCGAGATTGCCGTCAACATCACCCATGTCATAAGATCACATTCTACAGCGGTTGTTTGAAGTGTTTGGATGTAGTTGAACCCTCTCATCCTGAAAGGATTCTTAGACAGTTTGGTAGGGTTCAAACCATCCCACCTGTGCCACTCGACCCTGTTCGTGCTGTTAGAGGTGTCACAACAGGCCGATATAGAGTGATGTATCAGTATCTTGATTAGATATGAGAGAGTTGAGATAATCATGTTTTATTTACTCGAAGGAGGAGTACCGTAGTCAGACGTCCAGCTGATTGTGTTGATGGTTACATGCAGTGGTATACAAGTATCACACACTTATATATCCAGCACCCCACACATCGGTCTAGTTTTAACCTACGTGCACACAATAGTCGATCTGATGTGCAAGATGCTGAGGTATGACAATATTGCGCACACATTGTTTAAACTTTTTAAAGACGTTTAGCTAATTACAATCGTATTTGTTCTTAATGCAACGTATTGAACACGCACTACAGATTACGCATCCTATCATCGAGGCAGGCCATGATGCTAGTGTTCGTGAGCCAGATAGGTTATATGAGGCCATTGAGAGGATGACACGTGTTCTTCCGGGTCAACAAATCGATGAGGCTGGACCTAGTTCTATTCCATTTAGAACATACAATCGTAAAAGACGAGTAGATGATAGGTAGTTGGTTTTGTGGTAATATTGTTTTGTTATTTTGTAATGGAAGATGAGTACTCTTTTGATGTTTTTTTTTTTTTTGTTTTGTAATGAACAAGAATTACTTTACCAATATTTTGTAATGAACAACTTTTCATGGTTTGTATTTTTGGTCTTGAATAGGAAGTACTATGCCAATGCGTTTGATACACAACAATGAGCAAGTAGTACCATGTGCATTAAATTAACTCAAAGCCTAATCCAACTCAACTATTTAAATGCTAATTCGCAAAAAAAATGTATCGGTAATTATTTGAATTGCATAACTACAACTTAACTCACATACATCATTACTCATCAAGGTTAATACAATCAAATCTCTCTCTAGTAGCTACCCCTGAATGAACAACTTCTTTAAAATGCTCAATTCGGCGACTATATGCAGTACCGCATCCAGCCGCACAAGAATGATGAAACTTGCACCAATTGGTAACTATCGGTGGAACTGGATGACCCGGTAACATGAACACCTACATTGACATAGCTTTAAGTATGAGAGTGATGCAGTACAAAATGATAAATGTATTACACAAATCTAAATGCTATACCTGGACAAAATGATTCCCATTAACAAACCCAATAGCAATCTCACGCCCGTTGAACTTGTGATATTGGCACTGATCGTAGGGGAAGGAATGTAAGGCATTGTTGTGCAGATAAGTGGTACAACACCATATTATAACAAGATGCAATAAGATGACCCATGTCAGGCATAGTCATCCAACGGTGATACCCTGGATTGGGCTCAAAGTATGATAGAATATGGGTTAGCTCTTCAATCCTATTATGTGAACCATATAGATGAGTGTAATGGGCCATGTGTGTGTGCAATTCCTGTAGGAGATCACGCCTGACTTGACCCCATTCATCCTCTGTAAGCCCCATCAAGCCAGCAATGGCTCTAAAATCACAATTGCCATCTGCATCTACATCCTTGATAAGACGTATGTATGGCTTCAATCCAACTGGGAGGGCATCAACATATGAATAAGTCGTAGTTGTACGAGTTCGATATGCCTATTCAACAGGGAAGGCATTAGCACATGAACAACAAAACATATAATTTATCATCAACAAAAATGTAAGTAAAAAATGGTTACATGTACTTTCTCTTTGGTAGGCCATTTTTTATCTACTTTGACAGAATCTTGTGTGGGGATCTGGGTGCCCATAGGAGAGTGGCTATCATGTCCAGACTGAACCAACTCAAATGCACATGGGTCTTGACGCGTAGATACATCTATCTTCTTATGTCCCTCACCTCGAGAGTTGGGCTTCACATCCGGCTCAATGAGAAAAGTACTTTGCGGATTTGCAATCTGTCCTAACTTATGCATAATTTTCAACTTCATAGTATAATCAGATGCATTGAATCACTTAAGTATGAGATCAAACTTTGGTTTATAACTCAATTCCACTTTATCATTTTTTAACTTTTGTACTATCTCAAGAGTCCTCCAGTGTGGGTTAATGCTATCAAGTGGTATTGGATGATCTTGTCGGATGTAATCCCTATTCTCATGGGCACAAAGTAACCCGTGTGTTCGTCGAACAACATATCCACATACTGAAGCATCAATGGCAACATTATCCGCTCGCTTACTCTCTGCTAAGACATGATCTAATGGAATAATAGAGATATTGCTTCGGAACTCTCTAAAATGGGATGGTTTCAACTGGTGTTGTATAACAGTTAAACTCTTCTCAAACGATGCCTTAATATCAACATGCTGCAACTCAAGCAAACTATGGATCTTGGTCCAAGAACACTCAAAATTGACTTGGTTAGAACCAAGTTGCTGTTTAAGTTTTGCATGCGCACTTTCAGCCTTGTGTACAATGGAAACAATTAACATAATTAAGTTTAAATAATCAAAATCATAATGACTAATAGTGTAAGGTAGACAAATATATATTACCAGTTGGTTGTAACATTCCTGAAGTGCGTACAACTATCTGTCCATACAGCAACAAACTTATCCTTATATGGAATTAACCAACTTTGTAAGACGTATTGCACTGCCTTAGGATATGTATCAAAATCTGCGAGTAGCCTAGCAAGGTGTTCATTGTATTCAAGCTCAGTTGAGGAAAGTACTAAGAAATTCCATGATTGGATAAACTTGTTCCATTTCTCCTTACTCTTAAACATTTTCTTGTATTTCACCAGTACATTTCTACTAATATGCCATCGGCATAATAAATGTCGAGATGTAGAAAATACCCTGCCAATAGCATTCATCAAAGCAAGCTCCCTATCCATGACAATCACATCAAGAATAGCAATGTCATCCATGAGATTATGCAATCTAGTTAACACCCAAACGTAGTTATCAATCTACTCAAATTGGAGATATGCAAAGGCCACGGAGAATGACATATCAGTGGATGTCACACCAACTATCTCAAGAAGAGGAAGACGATATCGATTTCTCTTATATGTGTAGTCCATGATCAACACCTTTGGAAATGAACGGAGTAAATCTAAACTGACAGGATGTACCCAAAACAAGTCTGTCACAATCATCGTATTGTTGTCACACTTATGCCGCTCAATATAATTATGCTTTTCTAATTCACCCAACAACTATTGGATCTGTGATCTCCCAGCTTTCTCAATAACATTATTCATATAATGTACATTGTAAATGGTTTTCATAGTGGTTACATTCAAAGCATTCTTTTGTTTCAAGGTAACAAAAATCTCTTTTGGTCTGACCGTGCTTTTGGACATATCCACTAATAATGATGTTTCCTCCTCAGATAATCTCCCTGCAAATAAATGGGCTTCAAAATGTTTAGTAGGAGCATGATTATGCATTCCATATGCTACATCTACCATCTAATCATTATCAACCATCAACTTATGAGCCCTCAACTGATTAAGGCCGAATTGTGCAACACTAAGGCCGTTAATTAGAATCTCTTAACTTTACTTGCTTGACAAACTATACATCATTTTATGCCTGATTAATATCAATTAGGTTTGTACACAGTAGGAGCATAAAATGAGCAGGAAATTCTTTCCCGCACATACGAAGGCCCATTCCCGTATGTGTAGCCTTTACCTTGCAGCCAAACAAAGCCTTAGCTTCCCGCACGTGCGACACCCTTTCTCATACGTGTGGTGACCACTCCCGCACATGCAGTCGTACCTCGAATTTTGTGCCGCTGTTTTGAACCTATTTGAAAGAGAGCAAAAGGATAAAAAAAGGCAGAAAATAGGTTGGATTAGGGTTCTAAAATTTTAAAGGAGAAAGAGAAGGCTAGGGTTTGGAAAAAGGTGATTCTCAATCTTCAAAGCAAATTCCTATGGAGGGTTCCATCTCTTTCACTTATTCCCACTTCTCCATGAGTGGCTAGGCTCTTCTTTTCTAGGGTTTTGATGAAACCCTAGCCATGTAAAAGGATTTCTCTTAAGCTTTGATTGTAAAACGGTGAGAATAAATGTATGGATGATTTAGAAGTTCATAATAATTGGTCTTTTTATCTCTTCAAGCATTTTACTCCCTGTGATTGTTTAATACTTTCCATACATCGGTTTTCTTTGTGTTTGTGTTCAAAGTACAAGACAAGTCATGCTCTGAGAGACGGGTCATGTTGCTATCATAGTTTAGAGCAAACGACTCATGCTACTTGAGATGATTTGTGCCTGTACGTTGAATGCAACAACCCTCTTGAACAATATTTCAAACTTATAGTTGTGAAATATTGGATATTTCAAACTGAATTTCAATTGATGGCCGATGTTAAATCTTATTTATGTAGTAAGTGATGAATTCTTTGCCCTAGGATTTTTTCCAAAAATCAATATCTCAAACTCTATGTTTAATTGTCAATTTAATTTCTTAATTTCATTTCATTCTTGCTTAGTCATAATACCCATCAATCTCTTTAATCAAAATTAATTTAGGAATTTAACAATTCAGTTAGTTTAATTTCCCGTTTGTCCCTGTGGATCAATACCTGGATTTTTCATTATTTTAAATGAATTTGGTATAGTTTAATATTTATTTTTGGTGTGTGAAACGACCCATCAAATTTTGGTGCCGTTGCCGAGTAGTACTCTTAGATTAGGCTGTGTATTGATTGTCGGTCCTCAACTTCCGGGAAGGGCTGTTGATCCATCTTGGAAAAGAACCCTAACACTTGGGATGTTGACAAGGTGGCCATCAACAGTGGACAGCAGTCCTATTTCAGTGAGTGACTCGTACATGTTCTAGTAGAAGAGCCATACTAGATGAGGATAAGTAAGCGCGATAACAGTGCAAAGGCCCAACTATTGCAGGAGGCGGAGCTGCTTAACGACCCAAGAGGTAACTGGGTCATTCTAAAAATAGTTGAGCTTGAACTGTATGAGCTTGTGAAGTAGGCGTGAAGCCCACTCCGATCGTGGCAACTTAACCGGTGGTAATGACGAGGATGGTGGTGATGGTGATGGTGGCAGCGATGCTGTTGAGGAGGATGAACCTCTGGCCTTTTTGGAGGCCCAGATGGATAGTCCTCTACTCACATCCCGCACACACCAAAAGCAAATACACATATACCCATGGAACCAACATGAGAATAAAAATAAGATATTGTGCCTGTTTGGTAGAACTTAAAAGCTGCTTATTTTAGCTTTTGACTTAATTTAAGCTATAATATTGTGTTTGGTACAACTTAAATTATCGTATTATAGCTTATTTAAAGCTATTTTTAGCGTAAATTTGGAAGCTGCTTGGGGGATGCTTTAGAATTATAGCTTAAATGCGCAGCTGATTGGAGGGGGATGAAATAACTTAAATGCCCTTCCAAAACTTCAACAATTACGAAATTGTCACTATATAAACCCTCTTCGTTGCCCTAGGCTGCTCCTCTCCTCACACACTCTCCTCTCATCTTCTCTCTTGGAGACCAAAGACGATCCTCCACATCTCCAAGATCAACCGATCAAACTCCTCTATATCTCTAGATCAGTAGATCAAACTCCTTTCCTCCCTGTTTTCCGTTGATTTATACCAAAAAGGTAAAAGTTCATGCATTTTGTTTGTTATATATA